ATGTCAATCTCGTCCTTATATATAGTATAGCGACCCGCCCCGGCTTCGCACGGGTGCAATATGTATATACATACAACAAACCTTCCTCAAGAATCACTCTATCTATTAAAAAAAACCGCATCAAAATCCGTTGCGTAGTTTTAAAGATCTAAGCATACATACGGACATACAGCAAAAGCGACTTTGTTTTATACTATGTATTGATTCAGCTGTGATTCTGATCAAGTGCCATTAATTTAGTAATTAGTTGCGTAAATTTTACATTCCCGTTATAATACACAGTCCCTAGTAAGTGCATTCGTAAGTTATTGTCGTCTGGCGTGTTGCATAGTTCGTTCTGATAATACAGGGAAAGTTAATTAAGTCAGTGAGTACCTACCGATGTCTTTACCCTCGCTAGTTCGCAATTCGCAAGTGATTAAACTAAAAGACAAACACGCAACGTTTCGTAATTATGATGATTAGTGAATCAGAGCGGGTCATGAGTTCACTTCAGTTATAAATCTTTAAACAATCGCATGTTGGGTTCGTACTCCTGCAGTAGAACAAGATGGAATAGAGGTCACTGCGCCTCGCTTCTGGCAGAAGGTCGGATGTATAATGTGAGGATGTAGTTATCGCGTGAACATCAGTTTATTGGGTCACTAATTACGATCGTTCAATTGAATCCACGTCCTTTGATACCGATTGATCATTCATTAGACACTAGACGGCTATTAATAAAACCTGAATTGGTATTGCTATCAATGTCAGCGCTGTTGATTTTATTCTCTTTTGTTTTTACTTGCTAGCTGGCAAGTTGTATACGTCAGTGATTATGACGCGTTTGTTGGCAATGTCTGTTTTCCAGCTTATTCTCAGAGGTTCATAAACTCAGCAAAAAATAGAGGACAGTTATTTAAATATCGCGTGATTTTAAAATGCTGCGTTGCTAGCGTGAGCATTAGATAGTACCTACTTTAGATTCAGGTAACAATGTATGTTGCAGTTCAATGTCTCAAGTTAGGAATTGTTATTTACAGGCCAACTCGAAGATAAAGTTGATACGGCGAGTGGACCAAGAATGGCTGTTTGGCAGATTGAGGAGTGGCGCGCAGGGTCTGTTCCCGTCCAACTACGTGGAGATCAAGGTTCCTTTACCTAACGAGGCTGCACCGCCGACACCTCTCATCGGCGTCGCCGTCGCACTCTACGACTTTGAACCAGTAGAACCAGGCGACCTACGCTTCGCCACAGGTGACACTATACAAGTTAGGAATAAATTGAACGATGAGTGGTACTTCGGCGAATGTAACGGACTGAAAGGACAATTCCCGATTAACTATGTACAGATGAGTTAAACAAGGAGTTTGATTCGGCTCAGTCTCGCGCCTCGTTCCCGGTGTCTTGATAAATTACGAGTAACATGTGATACAGATACACCAAGACTGACGTCTACCATATTAACACGATGTCACTATTTTGTAAACGGTATTTTAGCACTTCCTTGATGTATGGCAGATAGTTCCATTCTATTTTTAATGGATATTTGTTTTCCTCGGTGCAATACATTATATTTAGTGAAAGGAGAACAAAATCCGTCCCAGTAATACTGATGAATTGGTCAATAAATTTGAACGCATCAGAGATTGACGTCTGAGCCATGGATTTGTACAATTATAAAGATTTATTTGCGTTTTCGCACTAATGTTGCCATAATAACGTAAGTGCCCGCTATTTGCTGTATTACCATTTTGGGCTTTTATGAAATTAATATATTGAGTAGTAACGTTCCAACGACTGAATGTAAATAATAAGAGCTTGTATAAAATAGTTAACGTCCCTAAATTAGAAAATGTAGATATTATTTGTAATGGTTGTGTAGTCTCTTTTCGATCTGATTATTTGTTTTAGTTAAATTGATTACGATGACATGTAATTATTATGTTTAGTCAGGACATAGTTGCAATGGTACCCATGCGTTTATGTAATTCGTAATTTGTGATTTAAAAAACATGTTTAGGAAATTTGTTTATCAGAGATTCAAGATTAATCTAATACTTTCTGGTCATTATTGTGTCCTGTAAGTTGCGCGCGAATCACGTTGTGCTTGATATTACTAATTTTAGTTAATAACTGTATTATTATGATATTCTAAATTGCAATCACTGTCGTTAAAACGTAGTATATGAACAGCCTTTGGGTGAAATTACTGTATGTATACTTTTGTTCGTCTAAAATATTATTTTAGGTGTCAGTTTTGTACATTTTTTATTGTTCCGTTTGTGTCATAACTTTAAGTGTATTATTTGGTGGGACCATAATGTTAAGTGCCTTGAGTATTTACTTATGTGTATATGATGAAGTAATTTATAACAAAATAAATCTAATAATTCCAATTAATATTGTATTTTTGTTATTTATTTCCTTGTCGTAAGCTATTGGGTCAAAGTTTAGTACACAATTGAGATTTTAAAGTGGGTTGATATTTTGTAAGCCTTGTGTATGGAAATAGAATATTGCAAACTGTGAGATGTTTTGGGTTCCTCGAGTGGTGGATTATAATGGTTATTTCGATAGCGTTTTGGCATAATGGTCGCAAGTGTTTTGAAAATTTGGAATTCTCAGTACATAAGTGAACACAGCACAATTCTATTCAATCCGATTGTGCTGGATATAATATGACAATAGATTGCCCTCATACATGTTTATCTATATGAAATTAAAAACAATCGACGAAAACTGGCGTCACCATGACGAATAAACGTTTCGATAAAAGATACCAAATTGATAAATAAATAATAAGGTAAACCTTGTACTTTCAAAAATTATTCGGCGAAAATACTAGGTAATCCGTTTTATCTTAAAAACACATATAAAATAATGTTCAAAGATAAGAAATACATTAATGCAGGTATTAACGTATAACAGATAGAATATTATGTAGGTGGGTACACTCCCACCACAGAACATATATACCCTAAGGGAAGAATAACGACTCCATACAAATTTCGCGAGGAAATTTTACCTTACCGACGAACGCCATCTATGCCTTGCCCTCCTACTACTAGGTAAAAGAAACCAGGGCGGGAATTTCAAAACACGCGGTATATTCTTTGTATCGACTTATTCTTTGTATAGCATTTTATACACAAGTACAGTGCATTTCTCGATAATTACCTTTAACATCTTGATCAGTATACATATAACCAATATCGAGAAATACAGTGTACTTGTGTATAAAATGACCAAATCATTACATATACCTAGAGGAGATAAATAAAAACAAACAGAAGTATTTCACACTGTTTATTTGGCTTAATATTAATTGATCGGGATACAGCTATATTATTTTATTTATTAGGCTCATCAACAATTATTTATACTTGAATACAAAATAAAGTACTTGCACAATAACAGATTGAGTACAACAATATTTTACAGATTTAATTAGAAAGTGAAGAATAATATTAAAAAGAAATTATATAATGAACAATGATTCATTTTTAGGAAATATTGTTACTATGATAAACAACATGATAACAACAAAGAGCTGTAACAACAGTCACGCTGGTATTAATTGAGGCAAAGCTGTGTATTATTTTACAAGAACCAATGAGTTTTTTAGTTTTTAGTTAGTTTTCTTTACGCGAACTCATCACGACAATTAAACACAAATTCAAAGAGTCACTGTCTCAACATGGAGTCTATATCTCACAACACACACCTAATTTCACTAAAACCCGGTTACGGAGGAGTAATCTCGACTCAACGTTAACGATGTATGTAGAATTAAGTGGAAAAAGTTAATTAATCACAAATAAAGTTAAGTACAAGACAAAATGGTGCGCGGGAGCTGGCGGACATTTTTCTTGTAACGTCAAAAGTAAAAAAATCAGATACCGGTGTTTTTTTTTTAATGGCAACCGTATCTCCAATACCATTAGTGTTTTTTAATGCATATTCTAATTAAAATTTTGTAATTCATACCAAAACGCCAGGTACGAAATAATGGTCACATAACTACGATAAAAATAAATTACAGAGCCAATTGTTTTGGTGTATGTAAAACTAATACCTAGTAATATTTTAATCACTTGTTAAATGGCAACATTATGGAATTCATCTCTTTCACTCTGATGTTGCTGTCTCTTTCTAATTTCTATACCCCCCTACATTACGTTCGCAGAAGTAAGTCGACAGACCCTGACTCCCACTCTGTTTTGTGCCATACTTATGTAAGTAGTTCAGTTTCAAAGCGCGAAACTACGTAACATCTACAAATAAAAATAAAACTAGGTTAGATAGGTACATACGAATACCACAACAAGCCGTGTGATGATAGTACCTAGAGAAGAATGCATTGGCAAGAGCCGACTCAAGGATTTCTGGCACTTCGGCAGACACCTGACCGCTCTTAGCCTTTTTTTATGGGATAAGTCGGTAAGAGACGGATCACTTGATAGTAAATGGACTCCTGGAACGCCAGAGGCGTTACAAGTGGGTTATTGGCCTTTTAGAGATTAGGAATTTGAGGATTGTTGGGGATTCAGGGAGGGGGGGGGGTAATTGGGCCTCTGGTGACTTCACTTACACTACGACGACGACGAAACGCAACGCAAGCGTTGTTTCAAGTCAGTGTTCTGTGAGGCCGTGGTATTACTCCGGCTCGACCCATTCGTGCCGAAGCACGGCTCTCCGAAACTATTATTTTTTAATTATTTAAATTACCCATATGGGATGTTATTTTTATAAAGAAATCCGAAAAAGTTATACACTACTGCAGAAGTGCAGAGCTGCACACTATATTTCAAACAGGGACTAACCAAACAAACCATAAAAATAACGAGACAATGAGATCACGAGCGTCTTAGGAATATGAACGAGTATCTTGAATCCTATAATTAAATGAATCCGATGATATTATTGTAGATTCCCCTTTTGTTTCTTACTGCTGGCCCCAACTTCGTTGGGGAAATCGCTTTTTGTAGATGTAGTAAGGTTGTAATAAAAAAAGTATAAATTCATCACATATAGTGAATTTATTATCTGAACAAAAATAATCTATAAGTTCTTAAAATATTTACAATTCCTTAAATTACAACTTACTGTCAACATACCCTGTTCGCTTTTCAACCGTTGCGTTCAAACATTATATTAACTAGACGTGTAGGTGGCAAGAGGACATTCCGAGCGATCTACGTTCCATGAGTCTTATAATTACGGATAAGTTAACAGCGATGTAAGTCATATCGGCCCTTCACGATACTTACAACATGTTGAAAAGAGAAGAGAGGGCGGGGATTCTCCTAATCTTACATAACATTATATAAGCTAATCTTCTAATAACACAGTCCCATACATTACCCTAGCATATACTTAGATCGGCTCCGCGATACTGTCGCTACGGTTCACTTCCTATCGATACACAATTAACGTGGACATTCAGGTACATAACATACATAAAGCAATACAAGTATATGCTTTTTAAAATCATAAACAAATGTATGAACTGATGACAGGACAATTTGAGACGATGAGAATGAATTGAGAGAATGATGACCACTGACCTATATCAATACAGTTACTTCAATAAATGTGAATAAAAATAGCGGTGACATGGACTTGCCGCGGGACGCGGGTTCGTTAGCGGAATTGCTATCGTTTGTATGATCGGAAAAGTTTCAGTTCGAATACTTTTCAACCTTATTCCTACAGAAATAAGGATGAAAAGTGGTTAACAAGGTGTTTTACATCTACACCATCTATGCTTTGGTAACTAACAATACTGGCGCACTAATGAACGATTCCTTAACAGATATTTGTTCACTCACATAAGTATCGCCTTTACTTCTTAAATGTTTACTGAAGAAACGAAACGTGATGAAGCAAAAATGACTGCATTTAACTCTAAGACCATTGACAATGAGTATGACGATGATATGACTTAAGTACTTATAAAAAACATTCGTCGACATTATTAAGACTCTATTATCGAAATAGGTCAGCCTGAAATAAACTAATACATAATAACAGTCATTTTGAAAGCATCTCTTTTTAGTAAGCCATAAGAGTGTTTTTAGTAAATTAAAATGCCGAAGAAGCCGTATAAGAAAAAAGACAAGATCCCGGCAATATACGCAGCCTTGTGTTCGAGCTGTATTCTTATGATTTCTAACATTCGTCTTCAGTACGACGGTTATCGAATAGCGACACACGCATAGCAGTTGTAATACAAACCGATACTAAACAGTAATCTACGGTTAGATAATTGTAAGTATAAAAAGTGCATTCTAACATAAACATCAGATATAAAGGTATCTGAAGTAATGTTCTAAGACAAAGTTTGTAGGTTCATATAAAGATACAATTGTGTAAATTCGAGTATTGATGCAGTACAATTGCACATTGAACATAAACAAACAGTTTACCATACACGTCGCTAACACATAGCCAATCTAACTTGCTAGTTAAAGTACTTATAATCAGATGTTATATAACATATTTGCAACTTGCAAAGCTATACATTGTAAAGTTTAATAAATATATACACATTGCTATAACATCTGCAGTCTAAGCTTGCAATAATAATGCGACATCTATACACAGAAAGCGTTTAACAGTAGCACTTATTGTTCCATGTTTAATATGTACCGTTTTCTTATATATACAACAAACAGCATTATATGAGTAACGTCTCGACGCCGACGCTTCGCCTGTCTATGCCAAGTCGTGCTCGCTACGCGACGGTAACAACATGTTAATTTCGACAATCAGACACTAAAGTCGTTCTTCCAGAAACATTCTAGCGTACCCATTCATTGGCTTGGCCAAGCAAATTAGCTGTTATCTTCGAGATGCGATGACGTATGCGTATTATTAATGATTTATGTCTATTTACAGTTACTCTATGACACGGGCGTCGGTGACTTAGTCGGGTCTGTATATGGGTATTTTAGGAATAAACTCTATGAGAAGTACGTATTCCATCATGGATGAGGAGTCGCAGTGTTGCTTGGTGAGTCGCCAGCGAAGTCCCAGCTTGTTGTACAGTCGACTGTTCTCCCATTCCAATAATTTGTTCAGAGAGTGTTGCGTCTGTAAAGAGAAAGCAATATTATTAGTACCAATACTTATATAACATCACGCGTTAAATGGAGGCGTACATTAACGATTAAGTGTAATAATAATAAACACCTTTCAAGTGTTATGTTATAATTATAATGCTCATAGGTGTTGTGGCCTCATGGGGCGAGTCTATCAGTGTACACTGGATACCATTCCAGACTCCGTGTTACTACTGAGAGAAGATCAAATAATACTTATCAGGAATTAAACCCGGTACCCAGTAGTCTTATTTGTGTCTGATCACCCTACGAGACAGAGAACAGTCATTATTTCTATTTATACATTAAAATTACTCAAATATGGAACGACCTTCTAGTCACAGAGTTTTATATGTACCGACGTACACAAAGCTCTATATTATTATTTATGATACACAACATTGTAGATGGTCATAAATAATGTATATAAGCATCGAAGATCGTGGGGTATTTGGGTAAAATGGCGTAGATACTATATTATTTATATTAGAGATGAACGGATAGCTGTTTTGACGGATAGTCGAATATTTAACCAAACATTTGGGTGTATGGTCTTGGAATAATCTTGTTTCGACAAAGAAAATCGTATTTATTACCTATTCGACAATTTTCTTTGTAAAGTTTGAGTAAATATGACAACAGCTTTTTTCTATTTGTATAATTTGTATTTCTATTTAAATAAACATTAGAAATTAGTATTTTTAGTAGTAGATAGGATAATAAAGCGGAATTTTACGAGGCCTTACTTCACTGGCACTATCCGATATATATTGACCTACTGTCCGTTTCCGGCTGGATAGTGAATTAAGGTCGGATATCCGTAGTAGTATCCCTTATTTACTCTTTATATTATGAACTATATTTTAGGCAGTTCATTACATAACAGAACAATAAACAAACAACATACACAAGTTTGTATCAATAATATCTTAACAATAAAGAGTTCATAAATAATATTGCTTTTCTATATGTATAGTAATGTATATGAATATTTTATGGCCTCGTTATTACGCCTTTTCCGTATAAACGAGCAGTGGTAATTAAAAACGCAATTAATAAACAATATAAGGGCACAATTATAAGAAAAAATAATTGTGCATCAATATTGTTTATTTGTATCCTGATCTGAAATAATTTTAACAATAAGTTTTGTTGACTTGACTTTTTTCAATTAAAACATATTGCCTGTGCGGGTGACTGACTAGGGGATTCAGTCGTCCGCTGTATGGGCGGGAGTAGGCGTTAGCGTTGTGTTCCACGCCTCCCGAAGATGGAAATCGCAGCCTCCAAGGGCTGCTATGTGGTGGGACCTGCCGCAACATAGGGGTAGGTCGAGGCCTGCCGGGTGCGGTGGATTCGCAAGGGCGTCCCGGGTCACGGCCACAGGCAAAGTAGGAACACCGCGAAGGTTTTAGCCGGTAAGCGTCCGGCATACTATGTCGTGCTCACAACGTGGGAAGTCCATAAGGATTTCCATCGCGTTATAAAAAAAATAATAATATTATCATACATATTCTTTTGTTTTACAAATGTTGGATTGCTGTGAAGAACTATGAAACCTAATAATTTGTATAGAAATCAGAGTAATGGGAAGACACATTCACATTCAAATTGCACATGAACACTAAAGACTTTCCCAATAAGCAGTTAGGGAAGTGATAATATGATATAAACCAAATTATAATTTATGGTTAGTCATTCCAAACTGCGGGGAATTGGGGATTTACAAATGTCAGCCATCATAATGCCTAAAGTAGGTGCCTAGTACGTATATTAGGAACGTACTTACAAATCCTACAAACCACCTTTGAAATAGGTGATAATGAAAAAGTGCAATAATTTTATACATAAACATATATATTGCTAATATTTATTACGGTACATAATTTACCCAGCTAATAAACATACATAGACAGATGACACTAAAACGTGACCAAATGTCGAAGACAGACATTACAGCGTAGTTTAAAATGTACTGATCTTGTATAACCATTTCCTATCAGTTTACTTTTAAAGTTAGCACATTAACCGTACATATCAACTAAATCAATAAAGCTTTGCTTCAAAAATAGACTTAGTATTAGTTAAATTGTTCGATCGAGGTGTTCAACCTTCAACTTCGGTTGGCGACGTTTGACGCTGTGTGCATGCCCATTAAATATGTATGCGTGCGAATTACCAGGAATAATTGTAATATGAACAATGTCTTGGACAGTATTGCAAATTGCAAGCTATATCTGTTCCTTGCTATTGTTCGTACGATTCAGGTCAGATGTAGCGGTATTTTGAAGCTATTGTCAGTTTTTTTAAGTTGTTATAATATTGTAGTTTATTCTATTAGAGTAAAGCTCTTCCAAAAAGACCGACGCCCAGATCTTTTTTTATATATACATATATATGAACTTACCCTTTTACTAAGACATATGACAGGCCAAAGAGAGCATCCTAAGGTGCAGCAGCAACACACGCAGCCGCAGAACAGCCACTTCACGTTGACCGGCAACGTCTTCTTCAGCACGCTGTTGATGCGGGCGACCGTAGCCTGGTACTCCTCCGGCGCCACCCGCGACTGCAGTCCCGAAGGAAACTCCCCGTTGAAGCGGTTACTTAGACCAAATCTGAAATTGTCGGTTATAATAATCATTTTTTATTCCATAGTAGTTAGTTTATTTTCATAAATAAGTTTCTTATCATCACCACCATCACCTCTATAAGGCACCCCACCCAATGCACCGCACGATCGCAGATTGCGCGGGATGGCAGAATTTTACCATTATAAAATTTGTCATCTTGCACGTCGGCAGTGAGTTCTGCTAGGTGTGAGTTGTATTTTATGTGATACTTGTATACAATGCTAAAATCTGTCAGTCATCCCGCGCTAAGCGACGGGGCGCAGTGCAGTGGGTGGAGCGCCTAATGTTCCTAATAATTTAATGAATCTTATTCTTATTATGTTAATTACTTTCCAAGGGTACCTAATGGTTTATCAGTATTTAGATATCAACACCTGTATTCTTTATAGGTCAATATGAATACTATTTCTGCACATTGTTAAAATAATTTTTTATATGACCTTGCAATCAATAAAATAATAATTGAATTGTTAATTAAATGCTACAAACTGACTTATAATTAATTTAGCGCATGCAGTGATACATGCAGGCCAATAATTTGTGAACAGATAACCTTTTCACAGCTCGATCTTTATTCCAGCTATGGTCACAGTCACATGAATATAATTTTGTATGTCATGTATCTGAACTTTGGAAATCATACAAAGCTATATTTAAGCAGTTTTCGTTAAAGAAGGATATAATATCCATCATAATTGTATACATATAACACATATAAAGACATATAAAAACTCAAGCAAAAGCTACATAAAAATGCTATTACTCATTAAAATATGATTTACAAAGTGCAAATAAAGTGAGTATATCATGTGAGATACACTCATTCAATGAGTTTGTGTTTCTAACGCATGAATCACTCAATGTCTTTACAGAGTGTAGAGATAGCTTGTATCAGTGTTAATGCATTGATAACACAAGGCAAGTATTTATCTATGATTACGAAATTGACCCTTAATCCAACACCAATGGACCCAATAAAATGTTATTGAGTATGATTGTGGCATATATGCAAATAAAAAAACATTGTTAAAAGGATACATTATAATTTGTGCATTATTCCTATATGTAAGCCAATTTAAATCAAAATATGTTTAGTAGTTTTTGTGTAAGATGAACACAAATCTATTGAACAACACAAATAATTAGCATTTGTAATACTGGTAGAATGCAATCATGAATTATAATGTATATAGTTACAAAACTCATTAACTCGTTGAGTACCGTCTTTGTAGACACAATTATAGAACAATAGGTTGCGGTCACCGGTGACCGCTTGGTGTTTGACAGTTTAATTACTAGTTAAATATTATACCTGTTTGTCTTAAACAGAAAAAACATGCACATACTATATACTGGCATGAAGTACATAATATTAAATATACAAATGATAACACATACATATAGGGGAAACATTAAACAGGTCATGATTTATATTCCTAAGAATATAGGTATAATTAGGTACATACTCATAATATGGTGTTTATTATGTAAAATGAATATTGAAACCACAAGCCACAAACTAATATAACTTGAGTCAATATCTTATTATTAATAACAATGAGACATACAAGTTTCTACGAAAACTAACTAATTAAAATATGTTTATTTCCTTAGAAAAATAGAGGGAAAGAGAAACACACACAGAGAGAGAAAGAGACACACAAAGAAAGAGAGAGAGAGAGGGAGGGGGGAAGGGAGAAAGGAGTTTGTGATAAGATGGTGTCAGAGAATGGAGAAGACATTCTGTGTCACAATTAACACAGTAAGAATAATAGAAAGTAAATAAATGACTGATATGTATAAAAATTAGCAAAAACTTATTTCATATCAATGTTTTGGCTGTAAAACAACAATAATAAACCTTTTTGTTTATTTAAAAATAAACGATAGTCCTATAAAATTCTAACTGAATATAACTTGACTTTATCTAAGGAAAACTAGAAATAAAAAAAATACAATGACATGTATGATAATCTATTTCAAAGTCTATTATAAAATATTCACATCAATAATGGATTAACTGATATTCTTGTAAAAGGTACAAATATAGAAGCATAAGGAACATAATCCTTTGTCCCATCTGTGAGTGAACTCATCCTTTACAAAAACACAAACAATGTTGAGTGAATACTTAAATATGTACTTAATGGGTTTCTTTATCTGTGCACATAAAGTTCTTTGTTCTGGAGTCACAGTTTGTAATGCCTTGTACACTCTCAAATTGAGCATTTTAAAAAAGGAATTGATTACCTATGATTATTTTAATGAATTTTAGAATAGAGTTCATAACTAAGTAATTGGTCTATGGAGCGTGTTTGTAATGTTGTGATATGAACTTTTGTAACAGTATTAAAGCTTGATGGATAAAAAGATTGGCAATAAGAGAAATTATTAAGTTAGCCAAGACATTACAAACTAGAAAAATCTGGGTCATGGTTTTAACTTTAACATCTTTTTTATTTTGTGTTCAATAAAATTAATAAGCAGTTGTTATTTATCTTGTAAATATTAGCCTCTGCTTTTCTTAAGGATGAAGATTGAATAAGGGTTTCTAATTAATGGCCAGTATAAATGAATTAATGTGATAAAAAGGTATTATTGTGAAACCAATTGTCTCTGTAAAATTTCTATTTCTAATAGCATGTACCATCAGCAGAGCAAAGAAAATAGCATTAATATAATGAGAACAACGAATCACACGTTGAAAATTGGCGCCTGGTCAATATTATGCATAAAGAAATAGTCCTTCAATGCCACAGGTCGAGTGACAAAGAGGTGAGAATAACTCTCCAGTAGATCTACATACTAAGCTACTAAGCCTCTAATATCGAACCAGAATCACTATAGAGGCCAACAGCTGATGTTATTAAACAGATATCACAAGTAAAAGCTTACACTGTCATGTTCCCAGCCCCTCGAATCACGATCGGATCAGGCACTAGCGTCACATGTGTCTCTTCTATATTCTCCTCGAGTTCCGTCTCATCGGGGTATATTGCATCAAAGTCTGCCATTGTACTTAACACTAACTAAAAAATCAATTTCGTATATTATAAACACATAACAAAGCACAGTGTTTGGAGGATTTTACACATTCACGAAAAAACAAAAAGGAATACAGAAAGTCAAAAGTGACGTTTCCCTTCATAAACAGAAATGAATAATGTTGCCATACAAAGATTAGATAGTGCATTTTACGTATCTCTTTTAAGAATAATCATTTAGTCGATATATCAATGATAACTTATTTATTTATAGCACGTAATCCTAAGAAATGCCAATTACAGCCAGGTAATAATAAACGACTTTGTAATTGATAGTATTATTATAATTACATAGATTCGATATTGTAACACTGTTTATAGTATAACAAGACGTAAATAGATTCGTTTTTGTATAGTAGGGTAGATGGCGCTGCCAGTCTTGTTTGTTGTGATTATTTTAAAAATATCATGGCTTTGTTGCCTCTTTATCTCTTTGTCAATATTGTAAGTGGTATCAAAGAACAATGTTTTCTCTATTAATGAGGGAACAATTAAAGACTACATCAATTAATTAATTACGATGTTATCACCATTTCATTTAGTTTTACCAATTTTCTCAATGAACACGGGGTGTGTTACGGAGTACACTTCACAGTTTGTTTCTACTACGTTACTACCCGATATATTATTTTACTCTATGTACGTTACTCTAGGCTACACTACGTGTATATAGGTATCGTCACTCTACTTTTTATTATTAACGCTGCCTCATTGAGCGACTGGTCGCAAGTGTTACTGCTAAGAAACAGATCTGGGGTTTAATTGCCGGATCGGGCAAAGTGTTATTGGGATATATGTTTTCGCTGTTTTGTTTTCTTAGTAGTAGTATGGGATTGAGGCCAGTATACGGCAATAGGGTTGCTCCTATTGCATGGGACCATAATGCCTTCCATAATTGGCGATTATGGATGTTAGAGGAGGAGGGGATAAAAATATTTTTTATAATTACAACGCATGTCTTGTCATAAATATATGAATTCACCACAGAAAACAAGCAAACACTTGAATTCTTTAAATACAAACTATCAACATTTTGCCAATTTTTTTTCGATATGAATATTAAGGAAGTAGGCACCTGTCTATCTAGTAGTGCTATCGCAAATGTTTAAATTAAATGCAAATAACGACTTATTCACACTCGAAATACTCGAGGAAGGCTCTCCGAGAAACCGATGATGCAATGAAACAGTTTCTTACATGGTCGGGAACGGCAACGCACCTCTAGGTTGCGGTGACAGCTCACGTTCACCATCAGGGAGACCGATGTAATATATTTTTTTATAGAATCGAAAGCAAACGAGCAGACGGATCTGGTCACCTGGATAATCATTAAGCAAAGTCAACAAAAAGTGTGATGAATACAGTATCTATTTACTTTAAAGAGCTAACCACAACAGACACGTCATGTGGTGCAATTAAAACCAGATTCATTAAATAATGAAGGTTTTCGTTTAGGCGGAGATCGATTGTCCGTATAAGGTGCGGCCATTATGAATTATCTCACGACTCGCTAGTATGACCACTATCACACATGTATGCACTATGTGATAACGTGCAGCTGTGACCCAAAAACGCCTTGTTATACCGCCTCCCTGCATTATACCTTCGAATTTACGAAACTACAAAAGGAGAAGGCATCTCAAAAATGACGCGTCGTTAATCAAATACAATTAAAAGCGATTTTTGGGCATTCTTGGTGAACCTTCATTGAAAATTATTTCGTTTCGAAATTAAAATGGATCTGTACGACAACAAGTATGGCAATTATGCTTCTTTGACGCTTTAAAAGGCGTTGTAGAATTTGTATTTTGGTGTTTCTTTCATATAATGAAAGAAAACTACAGGTCTCATTTACAGATAAGATAATTTAATATGTTATACCCCATAAGGTGATAATATTGGTGACGGTAAATAAAATGTGTGAATGATTTTTTGACTCCAAGGCGGAAAGTCTTCGTCTGGGGAAGATGAAGAAGATAGCTATACTCTGATTAATTAAAAAACATCCCGATATGTCCTATCTCACATGTCATGTGTAAAGGATACTCAAATGAAAAAACTTAAAGTTTCCTTCTCGATAGACTTTTTCAGGCATCCATGGTTGATCAGTTTCAAATAATAGATATTAATTCAACCGGTATGGTAAAGGGTATAAGGCCGGCCGTGACAGATCATACGTTTTTCTAGGCGGGTGCATTAAGCAGTGCATGCGTATAAAAGCGTCGCGTGCGCACCCCTCAGCGTCACAGCGAGTCAGAGCGCCCACCGAAGGTACTCACGCAACATGAAGGTATGGAAAACTTTTCTATAAACTTTACGCACAAGGATTTTTACAAATATGGTTTTATTACAATATTTACCAGTGAGTGACTTTGATTCAGATAAAATTAGACGAGATAAAAAAAGCTCACAAATATCGACTATATTTATTTTTATTTTGCAAATTTTAAGTAACCTACTGAAAATATAGTTTTTATCTGAAAACTCAGACGTCTTTACGTGACTGAATTGACGGTAAAATACGAAATAGGATGGATGACACAACTGCGTAGTATGAGAGAAAAGAAGAAGACTATGATGTGACCACTAGGTGATTCTGGGCTGAAATGATGATGATCATCATCAACAGCCGGAAGACGTCCGCTGATGGACGGAGGTCTCCCCCGTACCAAATTATTCACATAGAACGAAAGCTCCCCACCTGCATCCAAATGATGCAATGGTGATAATGATGAATAATAGAAAATGTTCATTTTGTTTGATCGCAGGCTACTTGAGTTTATTCAAAATATTTTATAATCTACTTTTTCTCTTTCCAGGTCATAATCGTAGCAGCTATCCTGGCGGTGTGCAGAGGAGCGGCTGGTGGTCTACTTCCAGTGGCAGCGCCCTACGCTTACGGCCGTCCCGTGGGCTACCCCGCGCCCCTGGCAGTAGCTAGACCAGCGTATGCGCCAGCCCTCGCTGCCCCATTTGTCGGTCATGCAGTAGCAAAGGTCGCCCCAGTCGAGGACTACGACCCCAACCCACAATACTCCTACGCTTATGACATTCAGGATGCTATCACCGGTAAGTTGTGTTATGGTCATTAGAAAATTATACCGAGCCCTGAGTTTCTATATGATGTTATAGTTAAGATTTACTTTTCCTAGTTTTTTATAAGGCTTCCCAATCTCCAAATTTCCAACAATCCTCAAATTCCCTATCCCCAAAAAGCCGGTACCGCATTTGTAACACCTCTGGTGTCTCGGGTGTGCGGCGCCAGTGGCTTACTATCAGGTGATCCGTCTGCACGATTACCCGTTTATTCCATAAAAAAGGCTTTCGTAAATCAAAGACCCCTAATAGTTTTTTGACCCGGGCTTTTGAACATCTTACTCGATAACCAATCGAATGTAATCTCACAATGCATTTTGACAGGTGACTCAAAGAACCAGCAAGAATCTCGTTCCGGCGACGTAGTTCAGGGCTCATACTCCCTAGTGGAGCCTGACGGCACTCGTCGTACCGTGGAGTACACCGCTGACCCTCACAACGGTTTCAACGCAGTCGTACACAAGGAACCACTTGGTGCTCCGGTCGTTAAAGCTGTGGCTGCTCCCGTAGCCCATGCCTTATACCACTAGTCCCAACAAAATCTTTCCTTGGTCACGAATCTAGATTTTTCAATTTTCATTCAAAATGCTTTCGATTGAGTGGCAAAGTGTCTAAATCTGCTAGAATCTATTATTGTTGTAACATGCATTGTATTGACTGGCGAAAATAGTTGTTACATTTGGATCGTCATAACATCTCACCTCCATGCCATGCAACAATGAATTGATCGACCACTCGTGTAAAAATCTGATTGAGAAAAGATTGTTCTGCATTTAAGACCTACTTATATTAGGTGTGTGTAATTGTTAGATTTTGCTCTTTGTAACACTTGTAACTCATGTGATAAACATCTGTATCAATCACAATATGACAGCAGGATCTAAACACAAGCATTTTACAAATAACCTAGATTCGTCTGACCAAGCCTGTGCTGTCGAAGTGACCTGACCCGTATTACGTTAATGTTTTATTTATACTTATTGTAGAGTATTGTTAATTGCTGTGTTAAAGCTAAGGTAATAAATAAGAGGAATCGAAAACTTGTTGCAATTTCATTTATGGTGTGGTCATAAGATGAATGAAATACAAGGCTTTTAAATGCGACAAATGTGGCGGCGTTATGGTCCTTTATAGGCTGCATTTAGTAGTGAGTGAACCAGTTATATTATGTGCGTAAAATAATGGCGTGTGTGAATGTGTGTCAGCCCGCAGCCGCGCCCGGCCATTATGTGCGAGTCTGCGCGGGCGCGTGTCGCAGTAACACGCGACATGCGACACTTTGCTGTTTCTCAATCTAGACAGGGGTCTAGCCAAAATTAGTAATGACCTGCTCTATTTAGACTGGTTCTAATAAATGTCAACTTCCAAACAGGTAACAAAACAGGTCTAGTCAATTATCAAGGTTTGCATTTACTGGCGACCTTTCTTTTGTTACATTTCACTTTATGATATTTATAGTATTACAGAAACTAATACTTCGTATGAAAATTTATTGCCTCCTCAAATAAATAAAGAGGCAGTATAATATACCGCTTCTCATATTACTGTATAAATATAAACTAACAATTAAGCAATCCAGGGCAATGTCAGATGCAATTAAGTAATTTGGTTCATTGCGGATGCCTGCATTTAGATATGTAGGCATAGATAAATTAGTACTGATATGTAACATACAATTAAATGCAACATGGAGGCGTTTCTAAATAATGTAATGTAGATCAGAGCTTAATTTTTATTTCTGTTCGACGTTCAACAGGGTTGTCTTGAAAAAAATACTTTCAAGGAGTTGTTCGGATATAAAAAACTAATGGAAGGAACTCTATGTCAAACTGCCCGTGGTTGAAAGACTGCAAATGCGAACTGCCGAGTTATATGGCCCTACACGGAAGACAAGCCGTAGAAAATTGTTTAATGGCCACCTACTTAATAATAATAACATTATTTTAATTGGAACATAAAAACATGTATTTTTGTAAATACATTTTTCGTGGTTAAGTAAACTTCCACGTACATATGTGCCCTTGTAACTTTAGTGGGTTGTGCAATTTCCTTGGTCATTGTGACTAATGCTTGCAATAACTAGTTAAAGGTACTTAATAAGTACTTTTTTGAGGCAGGAAAATCATCCATTGACTTCTCCGGCCTTAAGTTAGGCGAGAGGGAGTGTCAGACTATTACTGACTAAAAATCACCCCGTTTCCACTAGTGCTCTTCGAGCCGGGGCCCCGTTAACCCGTAAGGCCTTCCGCGGCTCCGTACTTAATAAGTAATAATGTGTAAATCATGAAAGAATGCACGAAACTATTTAGGGATAGCTAACTAATAGGAAAATTGGTTACTTAATTAAATAAAACTTTTGTATTTTACACAGTTGTATGGGTTTAATTTATCAGTCGCCTTATTGTACACCAAGAACTATATAGGCTAAGATCATCGCATCAAATAGTATTTTTCTGCGCATCTATATAGTCTTTGTTCAGAACTGCCACTAAATAGAGCGATACAGTGACGAAAAAAGCCAGGAGTGTGACCACATTCGACAGAATTGACGAGACGTGGTGCTAACCGATTTGTTTGCAAATATTTCACATCGATCTTAGCGTAAGTATAAGTTCCCATCACATCAATCTACCGCCCATCTACTCAAAGGTTTCTTAGTTAATACTTAGATCTATACGTTGTACAATAGTTTACTCTATTCTATCCTATGTATAATAATATCTATTATAGTTATTAAAACAATGACAATTGTTGGTCGTGTGACCATGATTTTATAATGTTACAGATAAATTGATATGACAACAACGCCCGGAACTGATCCAATACCTAGTATAGTCGTGAATAAACTGTAGATAAGTAGATTTGTCTACAATAGGTATATCTATAATTAGTTAGAGACAGGTTTTGTTTCAGGCTATGAAAGAAAGTATAAATAAAATGAATAAAGCTATTGATACAAACCTATGCCTCTATTTCTACAAAGTCCAACTTCTTTTGAATTTTTCTAGATGTGCAAGACTATACATAGCTACTTCAGTCCACGGTACTTCCAATGTTTATACATCTTTTGCTTTTATTGTACCTGCGTGTTGTAAACATTATTGTAGTAACAATATTGAGTTAGAAGCGTGGAACTGAGACTTTGAATTGCGTCATACATACCACTATGCGGTAATTTACTTGGTTGTAAGGGCTACTTCCCTCTTGTGTATTTATCTATACTAATATTATAAAGAGGAAAGATTTGTACCTATTTTTGTATGTTTGTAATGAATAGGCTCAAAAAGTACTGGGCCGATTTAAAAAAATCTTTTACCAATAGAATGCTACATTCTTCCAATTTGACATAGGCTACATTCCATTTTGAAAAAAATTAGGGATCCTTGATAAAATTTGAACAATGTAACCGAAGGTGTAGAAAAATTAGTCTTAAAATATCTTTCGTCGAATGCGCTGCCGAAACTATTAGCGATAGAACAAAATAATGTACAACAATATTGAAGAACGTCATAATGTCTACAAAAAACTCCGCGGTAGCATATGTCCAACTATTGTAGTTATGTCACTACAACAATCCAAATTTCCAAAAATAAATAATTGTCTACCCCGTGCGAAGCCGGGACGGGCTGCTAGTAATGAATAAAGAGGCAAAAAGTCAATGAAAAATGAATAGCCTCGTATGTTCTTCATTAATTACGAATGCCAATTGAATTCAAAACTATGACTGATTATGCGTTTAACTACGACTTCAAGAGAATTACCATTCCTTGATAAATAAACGATCAATTACTTTAGATTTGGAATCGTTAAGATTTATAGAAGTGCTCTATTATCTGGTGATGATAGACATTAGGGACAAAATGTCTACTACTGAACATTAGCCTCTCCCAATAACTTATTGAGGTCAGCTGATTGAAACATTGGAAGCGACCTACATCTAAAGCCTCCCGTGACCTTTTTCAGGCCATCTGTTAACCTTGTAGATCGGGTCAGGTCAGGTCACCTGTCACTATATAGGTGGGTATCCTGTTCTAAATATACATTCATATCAGGAATATTTATGACACAATTGTTTGCAAACGCAACAAATTGTAGTAAATTAGACCAGCAATCAATAGAATATAGGCAATATTTCAATTGCTAAACAAATATTTGACTATGATTAATGAATTTCCCAACATATATCAATTAATGTGACTGTTTGTTTAATAATCATCAAATGATAATGGTACATAACATGCTTACTTATGCCCGCCCATGACCCCAAAGAAACCGTAATATATCTTAGAAATGAATATTATTATTGCGATTGTAATGAGATATTAATTCGAACGATCTGTGTAAGGTTCATGCAATCAAGATCATGGCTGAATATTATATACAAATAAAAGTGTATAGCCCGATAGCCGCTATATTTGCATATAGTACTTAGTACAAAACTTTGCATACGTTACTGCAAATGAACGTTAAATTAAATATGATATCTTCGTGAGTCTTAGTTGACTAGACCTAATTATATAATCAGCAAAACTGTACTTATCATTGATGTTTGATGTAGATGTTAAACTGTCAAACACCAAGCGGTCACAGGTGACCGCAACCTATTATTCTATAATTGTGTCTATAATGACGGTACTCGACGAGTTAATTAAGGTTTCATAACGTATTAATTAGAGAGGTTAGCATAAACAGGCATAAAGTGCAATAATAGATTGTAAACAAATATGGCTACCGGCTCTATTTTATGTACTAATCCGTGAATCAGTGAACAGTGAAACTTTCATCGGGCCACTGCGGCTACTGTGGACCTAATGATCGTAGCGTACAACGTAACAATTAGGTAATAAAGCTCTAATTACAAGTCCACGTTAGTTAGATAGAGAGCGACTCGCGACTCGGCCGCCCTGTTCCAATAAGGAACATTCGAGTGAATGCACGCCGCTTCTATAAATACGAGAGCACTCGCCGCGCGTGTACTATTTACTCCGAACCCTATTGTTGGACAAGTCTACTATTCTACATCATGTTAAGGGTAATTGTCACTTTATTGATTTCTTTTAATTAATTGTTTGTGACGCTAACTAAGTGCAATCGTTTGTCAGGCTAACATATACACAGTGTAACGTTACATCTTAAACTTGTTTGTTTCTAGTGTAGACCTTGTGTGCTTTCAGGGATTGCGAGAGATATTTTGTAACTAATAGTTATGCTATGATTTTGCAATCTGTTGTTTCAGGTATCATTGGTGGTCTGTGTAGTGCCAGCAGTGCTCGGTATCATCGTAAGGGATCCTCCTCCTTCACCGAATGATTACAAGTACTCGTATAATATTGATGACCCAACGACTGGTGACAGTAAGAGTCAGCACGAGGTGAGGCAAGGCGATGTCGTCACGGGCGCCTACACAGTCTTGGGCCCTGACGGAACGAAGCGTACAGTCGAGTATACTGCTGATGCGAAGCATGGTTTCAAAGCGGTCCTGAGAGAGGATCCTATGAGTCCACCCTTACCGAACCCAGCCCCAGTTCACTTCAACTACCACGGTGCTAACGACCTCCAGTACCAGTCCCCTAACCCCGGCCCAGTGTTCGCGTCTGTGTTGCACCCTCAACAACGCTCCAACTACGCCGAAGAACAGTCCGCGATATATTTCTCCCCCCAAACCGAAATAGAACCCAGGTTACCTTTTAATGGGCACTATTTTGTACCGGCAAATAATAATAAGTTTGTAGTGTAGATTTTAGACTGACATCTAAATTATGTAATTCTTATCCTAACCTTGTGATATTAGATAAGTATTATTGAAATCGAGCCTATAAAACACATGCTGTGAATAATGTACCTAATTAGAGAATAGAAAGATTGAGTAATTACTGTAGCTGGTAGATACTAACTTAGCTGTGAATGTTTTTGTATAATGGTAAAAAATGTAAATGGATAGTTGACATAAATGAATAATGATAAAAAATAAACACCAAACAAGGCTGAACTTGTACAGTGACGTATTTTTTCTACCACTGATCTGCAGCCCGAACAAAAACGTTAGTTTTATTTAACCCTAATGCTTCCTTGCAGTCACATTACAATAGGAAACTACTCAAGGATATAAAGTGCATATAATAATTAAATATTGTCACTGAAAAATGGTAAAGTTCCGGGGTTGTGCACCGGATCAGCTGGTTCAAGGTCGCGGGAAGTGGGTCGGCGAGTGAGCGCGATCGGCCAGCGCGGCCTTACACGTTGGGGCTTCGAAATAAGCGATTATATTATGAACGGAGCGAGGCAGACAACCGTCACTAATGGATTACATAGTCGCGTGCTTCAAATAATGCTCCACTCGATACAGTTTCACTCTTTTTATTTCATTAAACTCCCACTTACAACTAATGGAACTTGCCTAATATGTTGCATAATTAGATTAAAACACAATAATGCCCGTGATAATTAGATTAAAACACAATAGAAGAATAATCTACAATAACAGGTCTTCAGTTGTGCTTATCAGTGTTCTGGAATGTTATTTTTCTATTGAATTCGTTGTAATTTCTGTAAACGAACGTAAAAACGGAAATAAGTAGGTTTCATATAATACTATTTTAAATAAATTATTATTAAGCAAAACATCACACATTATTGTGGTTATATTCCCATTCGCGATTTACAGGAGTAAGTAGTCCAATATTCGCGTGTTGTAATGCCCTACACTTGTAAATAAAAAATAATTACGTAGCATTAAGTAAATTAATCGATTCCTTTTAATCAGATCGTTCGCGTTGATTCGTCAGTTAAAAATCCTTAAAAATTTTGCGACCTGGTAGCGTACATGGAAATTGTCGGTAATTTGGCCAAACATACATGCGCGGGAACTAATTTATATTGTTGCATCAAATTTACTCACAAAGTTATGGCCATTTTGCACATATTCGCAGATGATTAAATAAATTGCAGTGACATTAAGTATGAGCAAAATTCTACTGGCCTTATTATCAAATGCGTGAGATTCAAGGCCTTAAATGAAGATATTTAACAATGCTATCGGTAATCTGTTACAGGTAAGGCTTGAGTATTGAGTTATTGTGATTGTATTTAAATTCATATTCAATTATGCCAAAGTCTAAGGGGGGAGGGCGTGTCTACTATTGTATCTATGTAGAACTTATGCCCGAATACTGAATTGTATATTTTCGCTTCTCAATTGTGTAGTTCTATCAACTTCTGTCACTACTAATTATCTATACTAATATTATAAAGAGGAAAGATTTGTATTTTTGTATTTTTGTATGTTTGTAATGAATAAACTCAAAAACTACTAGACCGATTGCAATAATTTTTTCACCATTAGAAAGCTGCATTATTCAGAAGTAACATAGGCTATATAATATCACGCTACGTCCTATAGTTGTGGAGCAGTAACCAAAAATGTTTTAAAAACGGGGGAAAAGTATCGTTTCTGAGGCTTTCCGTGGCGTGCGCTGAACATATAGTTAAAGTTATACATAAATGCTCTATAGATGAATTGTTCATAAATAAATGAAATGAAATATAAATGTTTTCAAAAGGTAAATACTTCCTAAATAAAAAAAACTGAAAATAAATACAAATAAAACGTAAAACTATGTAAAAAATCTTAAGTCCCCCCGTGCGAAGCCGGGACGGGCCGCTATTTATTTGTAAAATGACAAGAGATTTCACTATTAAGCACAATTTAAAATTGAGTAACGGTAAAATAGGGTGAATAGGGATCGAGGGTGAATAGAGACAGAAGAGGGGTGAATATATATTGGGAAATTCTTCATGGTCCCTCATATCCTTATTCACCCCATTTACGGTAGCGTTTCAGTATTACGGCGATACAATGTTCGAAGTATACGTATGCATACATTATACATCTTTCTGGGAAGGGTTTGCAGCTCTCTGCATTTAGTACTAGTACCTGGGTACAACTAGTATAATATGTAATATATCCCTCGCTTATCTTATACTATTATATAAAGCGGAAGAGTTTGTTTTTTTGTTTGAACGCGCTAATCTCCGTAACTACAAGTCTGATTTGAATAATTATTTTTGTGTTGGATAGCGCACTTATGGACAGCTATAGGCTATAAAACATCACGCTAAGACCAATAGGAGCTGAGCAGAGCGTGTGAAACCGTGCGGAAGTAGCTAGTAGATGTATAACTGACTATAACTTCTGACTGAATACCCTATCTTGTTCCGGACCCGTTTAATTCGCCTGACCCGTTCATCTCAATAGAAATCAAGTAATCGTTACAATCTTCGACTGCCTCGTTGGCCAAGTGGTCGCAAGTGCGGTTTCTGGTTCGATTCCCGGGTCGAGCAAAGTATTAGTAGGTTTCTAAAAAAAACTCAGTGGTAGCACGGAGTCTAGATTGTGCCCGCCTGCCCGGTATATAGCAATAGGCTCACCCTTTATTACATGGGACTTATAACATAAATAGTGAAAAGTGGGCGTTACATTGTACAGTGGAATTGAATTCCGATAAGCGCACCTCTGCCTCCCCCATCGGGGACAAAAGGCATGACAATTTTCGATTAATATCAAACATAAAACACAAAATCTACAAACATAACTGAAACAATTACTTCTTCACCAATACTTTAATTAATAATTACAATAGATCTAAAGAGGTGCTACTGGACAGAGTTCGAACCAGTACCCACAGCCGCACCTCTTGGGGCAGCCGAGGTGTAGCCACATGAACTCCAGGTGGTTGTCGCATGGACTGCAGCTGCATGCCACCAGACGTTTGTCATTCGAACTTGGGATCAAGTTAGGTCGCTCTCTGGTACCAGGACCTGTTGAAGTTTTGATGTGAGAGAATTAAGTTTAAGTGGAGTTATTAAGATGATGGTGGTCTGACATAATTTTAACGGATTAAGGATGCAAGTGGAAAATAACTTTAAAGAAAATGGTCGACATGTTTTATACTGCAATGATAAAACTTTGACCACTATTTTTACCACCCGAAATCCACTGATGAGCAAACACCTAAGAAGATTTCTCACAATCCTCTGCTTATCTGGTGCATAGTGTGTCAATTAGGCTAACAGAATTATTTTCAGCAGTGATGAAATAAGCCCTTGACGTTTTTTTTATGGCATAAGCCGGTAGACGAGCTGACGCATCACCTGATGTTAAGCAGTCGGCGTCGCCCATGGACACCTGGAACACCAGAGGCGTTACAAGTGCGTTACCGGCCTTTTGGGGATTAGGAGTTTGAGGATCATTAGGGATTCAGAGATTAGGGAAGGGGAGGGGTAATTGTGCTTCCGGTAACTTCACTCACATGACGAAACACAAGCGTTGCTTCACGTCGGTTTTCTGTGGGGCCATGGTATCACTCCGGTCGAGCCGGCCGAAGCATGGCTCTCCCACACTTAAATGTAAATAGTTATTTTTAGTTTTCTTTTGTATTCTTTATAAATAGTTTTTTAATTTTATAGTTTTAAATGTATTATATTAGTAATAAAAGAAAATTAGTCAATCAAAATTACCTTTTCTGATAGACATAATACGGAATGGATCACAGTCGCCCGCTAAGTGTGCGAGTAGCTCTCTCTTCTCTAGACCAGTCACGTGATCTAGGGGGTCGTGCATACCAGCGTACAGGCGGGACCCAGCGCCTCGCAGACAGCGCATCGGTCGCATCCACCACATTTTGAACTTACTGAAATTGTGATATGGTTTAATTTGGGAATTCATCTGTCGTTGCTGGTGTCCTTGGGCGGCCCTGATCATTGATCAGGTGATTTGTATATTTATTGTGTGCCTGTTTGCCATAGATAGGTATATGCAATTATTATCTAGAACTTATTATCCAGAAACATTAATCAATGCAAGCGTTTGTATCATCAGCTAGTGTTTATGAGACAACATAACATAACATCACGCCTTTTTATCTCCGAAGGGGTAGGCACTTAATGCCACTGTACAATGTAATACCCACTTTTCACTATTTATGTTATGAGTTCCATGTAATAGGGGGTGAGCCTATTGCCATATACCAGGCGCTATTCCAGACTCCGTGCTACATTTGAGATTTTTTTTAAACCCAGTAGTACTTTGCCCGACCCGGGAATTGAATCCGAAACCCCTTGCCCGGTGCGGCGGTCGCGCTTGCGACCACTTGGCGAACGAGGCAGTCTGTTTATGAGAATCGTAGATAAAAGTTGTTTCTGGTTTACGTAATTCGTCGTAGCCTTCTCGTAGCACAAGGTCTACGAAAAACATCATTTCTTTACTATGTTGTGTTAACTTATTTGTGTGGATCAGAGAATGAATGAAATAAGATGTGGATGTTATTCCAAAAGACTATAATTAATTACTGATTCTTAAAACTCCTTTTGAACTCACCTACGAAATTTACTTACAAATCACCGAAAACACCGTCCCACTAATATAGATTTGTACAATAGCAATAGTTTGAGACTCTGTAAATAATATGACAGCGTCAAGTATTTAATTCAAATTCTAAATAGTTTTATTTTCGCACTGGTTACATAGACCACGTTGAAAGTTCGTAGCAAGGAGAACTAATACATTTCAATGTTAATCTGTGGCTCATGTTACTTAAATAAGTTGTTTATCGAGATAACTTATAGCTGCGATGCTGCGATATCTGAGTTGCAGGCATATATTAGAATATCTTATTTCACCGATAAGAGTTTTAAGCTGAGTCGCTTTTAATTGAAAAAAAAAAATCATATTTCACTTCACACGAGCCCAAGATTTCGTGCTAATGTCATCAAAAACCTCAACTTCAGAAAAGCGTTGTATTTGCTTCCAGTACTCACAACATTTACCATGTGTGTGACACGGTTCGCCCCAGCTAAATTTAATTTACATTGACAAACATGTGTCGTCGCAAGGACGCTCCGCCTAAAAGTCGACGAGTATTACAATGCAAGTGATCTTTATACTTGAGATCAATCATAGCCCACTTGCTTTTATTAACATATTATACGAACTAATACCGTAGACACCCAACTTCTTAAATGTATGATTGAATTATGAAACACTGCAAAGCGACCGGTTCATATGAACTCGCGCCGGCGTAATAGTGTAATGCAATTCTGAGGCAGCTGGGCCGCATATAAAAAGTCGAAGAGATACTGTTACAGCACATTCAACTTGAGGTCCTCTCATAGTTAAGTCATACACACAATTCAAAATGGCATTCAAGGTACGGATTGATAATCTTCATCAAAATGAAAGAGTTACAAATATACGGCAGTTTTTTATTCTTGTGTTATTTTTTGAATTTTTAAGCTAATTAATTATTTGTTCATTTTCAGCTGGTAGTCCTGGTTTGCGCTTTCGCCGCCGCCAATGCGGGTTACGTTGCCCAGCCCGCCCCGGTCGCTTACGCTGCCGCTCCAGCAGCGCATGTAGTGCACGCCGCCCCAGTGGCGTACGCCGCCGCACCCGTCGCTAAAGTAGTTGAGGACTACAACGCTCACCCCCAATACAGCTTCGCTTACGACGTGCAGGACGGTCTCACCGGTGACTCCAAGAGCCAGCACGAGAGCCGCGACGGAGATGTCGTACAGGGCTCTTACTCCGTGGTAGACCCTGACGGTACCAAGCGTACCGTGGACTACACTGCTGACCCCCACAATGGATTCAATGCTGTCGTGCGCAAGGAAGCTCTCGGACACGTCGCCAAAGTGGTCGCCCCCGTTGTCGCCAAGGTAGCTGCCCCAGTCGCCTACCACGCCGCTCCCGTGGTCGCTAAAGTCGCCGCCCCTGTGGCCTACCACGCCGCTCCCGTGGCCTACCACGCCGCCCCTGTCGCGTACTCCGCCCCTGTTTACCACCACTGAATGCCATACCTAGTCAAACCCTGAACTGAAAATTAAGGATTATTTATTTCGTTAGACATTATGATCATGAGCAAATAAAATATTTCTAAGAAGTTTACGAATATTTTTTATTTACTTTATATTTTTATCATCTTTTATCATTGCGCAATTAAATACGTATTTAATAAGAATTTATATAAAATTACCTTTTTGAGGAACATAATATTTATATTGCCTGTACCACTTTTCACTTCTACGGTAAATATCATGCCTATGTAGAAGTAGCGTGTAGTTTAATGAGATTTCGTATTAAAAAATCGGAAAACATAAATACAACCATAATTTGAATCCACGACACCATTTTTATCAAAATTCGTACTTATTATAGAGGAACAATGCAGTTGCAACATTTTAAGGCACTTTTAATTCAATTTATTTTGTAATTTAATAACATAGAGAGGAAATGAACTTAAAAAATCTTTCTTAACCCTTATATCTTAAATTACATCATATGAAGTTTAACACCTTATTCTCATTTGTATGTGCCTCCTAGATGAACAAGACAATTGAGTAGTTTCCTGTATCATAAATAAATTATTTTATATTTTATGACCAATTAAATATTGAAAAATAGTTAAACTTTCATTCCTTGATTTGCCGATATAGTTACTTAATTTTCGATTTATTCTAGCATTTTTTTTAGAAATAAGTGTGCTATTTCACGCGAAAATCATAATATGTATGATGATAAATATGATGTCATAAGATGGTATTTCGTACAAAATTCATAGACAGTTGCCCAGACTGCCCCACTGGCCGAGTGGTCGCAAATGCGACTGCCGGGCAAGGGGTCTCGGGTTCGATTCGACACGAAGTCTGGAACTGTGCCCGGTATATGGCAACAGGCTCACCCCCTATTACATGGGACCCATAACATAAATAGTGAAAAGTGGGTGTTACAGTAATATAAAGTACTACTGTAAAGTGAAGTGCCGTAATGTGCACCTCTGCCTACCCTTTCGGGGATAAAAGGCGTGATGTTATGTTATGTTATGTTCATAGACAGTATCGTTTTTGACGTTTCTATAAAAGTATTGAATTTGACTAGTTGTCAATTACCGTATTGTTCATAAAATTTTATTCGCCGCGGCGCCGCTATTAATTTCGGATGTAATCATTAGCTTATTATTAGGTTGAAGATGTACATATTGACATTTCAATTATATCTCATAATTAAAAATAATACACTTAAATATAATAATTATGAATATAACTAAAAATTTATTAAAATAGTGAAATAAAATAAAAACCTATCAGTTAGGCGTTGAAGAATTCGTCCGCATCACTATCCCTGGGGAACGTGCCCAGAAGATTACCTAGACTCAGTATTCAGTCAGTACCAGTTTATGAAATAATTATAATATATGTATTAGATAATACATTTATGGTACAAGTTTTTAAGATATATTCTCCTAAAATTTATCCATTCGAAGATAAGATTTGAGATACTTTAATTCCCATAAGAATAACAAGAATTCATTTACATAAGAAATATTAACACTAAATTACATTGAATGATTTCCTTTTAACAGTGAGTCGTTTGCTTAATTATTGATGGTAATCACAAAAAAATCTTATCCAAGACATTAAGTTAACATACACGGATACTGACTACTACAAGTGACATACACTTAGGTGCGCTCGATTGTTAATTATAATGTAATTTAAACAATCTTTTAAATATTTGATTGCACGGTTAGCGCGGTGGCTGGGCAACTGGCTGCCGCGCAACGTGTCGCGGGTTCAATTCCCGGACGGAACAACTGTTTGTGTGATCCACAGATTGTTGTTCCGGGTGTTATGTGTATGTGAAATTGTATGTTTGTAAACACACCCACGACACAGGAGAAAATCCCAGTGTGAGGCAACGTTTTTAAAACAAAAAAACGAAACAAAAAAATATAGGCCTGGATTTTTAATTTTTTATGTTCATTGGTTGTACATTGCTGGATACTCACCATGCACTCCTTTTGCCATAATTTGTACATAGTAATTATAATTGTAGATATGTCATTCGCATTTCTAAGCCCAATTTATGCAATTCATGTGTTTTTTTGTGAAATGTATTTGAGTATGAATGTTTTTTTCGAGTATTTTCTAATAAGAATACAATTACTATTATGTATAGTATCGCAGTTGGCGTAGAAGACACCGGACAACAGTATAAGACGCTGGACATTTTCAGATTTAGGTAAATTCAATTAAAAAAAAATACAATTATTGTAAGAGATAAGCGAGTGCTAAAATTGTTTATGTTCCAAGTAAAACTAATAGTAATTAGTTTAATTTTACTTTACGCTTTTTTTAACTTCATTGTAATCTCTTCTTATTAAAAGTCCTGTAGTCCTCGAGTGCACCACTACCAAGATTCCACGTAAAGTTTTAATTTTCACGTCATCAATTCTTGTGTGTTACCCACTAATGTTAGAATTTTATATCGTGTTTCGTGTAATCTGTGATTATTTAAGTCCTAGAATTCATCTTGACAAGATTGTATGAGCGATCCTATCCGATTGAGGAAATAACGGACGACAAGACTATTCTTTGATCAGTCATCGTTTAGATCGGACGTATTGAACAATTTACTAGTACAATTAATGTTAAATAATCATTTGCAAAAATCGTGACCTAGAATAACAACTGAACATTAATACTTATCGTGTAATGTGTAAATTGACAATGCTGTACTATTGAAAATTAAACACCTTGCATCATGGACAACAGCCCTTTTGCTCAGAGTAGCAGGGTTGCACGCTCGCCACCTGATACACCTGCACCGATGAGCGCTCCTGTCATACAGACAATACCCCGAAGTACCGATGCCCCAGAAGTCATACAAACCCCGGAACTGCAAAAATGGGTAGCTGCCATCGACCAAAACCTAACCGAGATATGCAGTCTTGTCGACGCTGGCAAGATGAACTCGGAACAAAAGTTGCGAGTAAATGCTCTATCCCGGAAGGTCATCAGTGCTTCGTCACAGATGGCAGTGCTATACCAAGGTCTAAAATGTAGAGCTTTGGTAGACCACCAACGCCTTTGTGACCTGGAGTGTCAGATTGACCTCTCTCATCAACTCCAAGACCTTAAACAGAAGATTACTGAGACCTCCAAGCCTGCCCAAGAACACTCA